AGCCCTTTGTAAACTGATAGGGCCTTACTAAATTGCTGAGGCGGACCTCAAATTTACAATCCTCCTGCCTCAGTCTACCAAACAGCTGGGATTATGGGCATGTGCCACCACACTTGGCATAAACATCCTATTTTTTAACAAAAGCAGATTTACTCTATAACATTTCAGCAAATCCTGACAATATTTAGGTCAACTTTAAAAATGGGAAAACACTTAGCAGAAATATTAAATTTGTCAAAAGGCAGAAATAAGGGTCCATTTGGACTGGGTTGTGGCTCAGTGGCAGAGAGCTTGCCTCGCATATGTGAGGCACTGGGTTCGATCCTCAGCATCACATAAAAAAATAAAGATATTGTGTCCATGTATAACTAAAAAAAATTTTTTAAATAAGGGTCCATTCAACAACAAAAAAATCTTTAAAACAAATTGGAACAAAGTATTTTTAAGCTTATTGCCAGTTTTATGTTTTATCTTTCCAAATAAAGAGATTCTTTTATCTTTTGACTCTGAATCAGGCTGGCAAAGTTCCTGTTTATTCCTAGTTTGTTAAGTGTTTATCATGAAAGGATATTTTTTCTCTAAGATGAACAGTTTCTGTCCTTTATTAATGTGATATGTTACATTTATTTTTATATGTTGAACCAACCTTGCCTTCCTGGGATAAATTCCAATTGGTCATAGTATATAATCCTTTTTATACAATACTGCATGCTGCTGGTTTCAGTTTACTAACATTTTACTGAAGATTTCTGCATCTGTTTTCAGAAGAGAGTGGTCTGTTTTCTTGTAAAGTCTCTTATTTTGGTATCAGGTTAGTACTGGCTTCACAGAATGAGCTAGAAACCCTTGAAGAATCTGTAAACTATTTTTAATTTAAAAGTATTTTGCTAAAATTTATTTGTGAGCCACTTGGTTTGGGGCTTTTCTTTATTAGACTTTCTTTCTTAAAAGAAGAAATTTCCAACCCAGGTGCTGTGGCATATGCCTATAGTCCCAACTACTCAGCAGTCTGAGGCACAAGGATCACTTGCACCCAGGAATTTGAAATCAGCATAGACAACCACAACAAAACCTACTTCTCTCTCCCTCCCACCCGCTCCATACTCACAAAGAAAAAAAAAAGAAATTTCCATTCTAACTTCTTTAATCTATGAAAAATTAAAAAGAGGAACAGAAAAAAATGACCTCATGTTCTTGATTGTTTTAAAAAAAACATTGATTTTAAAAATAGGCAGTGTATAAATAAAAAGAGGGAGTCTTTCTTTCATATAAGCTATTAATTCATCTAGTATGCCCTCTTAAAATTTTAAGTATTATTTGTGAGGTTAGACAGCTTAAGTAATCTACTAATATTCGAAAACAGAAACATCATACTCAATAAGGTCCATTCAGAAAAACCCAAGAGGTTCTATTATCCCCATTTTACATGTAATGAAATTAAAACCAAAAGAAATTACTTAATCTGTCTACAGTCACAGCTAGAGACATGTTCATAAGCAAAAATTCAAGTCACAATCCCTGGATTGCTATTTAAAAACTTGTCATCTTGAGTAAAATTACTAAGCTCAGGGCCTCAGTTTCTTCATCTCTAAAACGACAGTAACAACACTATGTATAAAACAAAATACATGTAAAAGTACTTATGATAGTGTCTGGTTTACCGCATCTGCTCAAGATTAACAGTAATTTTTGCTATTACTAAATATTTCTCTTAACAGTTTTTAAAATTTAATGGTTACAAAACTGAATTTTAAGGCAAATACTGTAAAAATCTTAGATTGGAAAGGAACGACCCAAAAGAAATTTTTTTATTTTTTATTTTTAGTTGTAGTTGGACACAATATTTTATTTATTTTTATGTGGTGCTGAGGATCGAACCCAGCATCTCTCACATGCTAGGCAAGCGCTCTACTGCTGAGCCACAACCCCAGCGCCCTCCCAAAAGGAATTTGATTCCAATCACAGATGAACATTTTGCTACTAGTATCATATTTTCCACTATATTTTGAACCTGCAGATTTTACTACTTCAATCTAGACAAAAAATGAAAACATTCAAGGAAGGGAAATACATAAAACTCAGACTGGTCTTTATTGTAAATGCCTGTCTATTTAAAAAATAGATGAAATAGGCATGGGGGTAAAGGTCTGTAACCCCACCAACTGAGGATAAGGCAAAAGGCTCTCAAGTTCAAAACCAACCTCAGCGAGACCTTGTCTCAAAATTAAAAAAGGGCCAGGCACAATGGCACATGCTTGTAATGCCAGCAGCTCAGGAGGCTGAGGCAAGAGGATCCAGAGTTCAATGTCAGCCTCAGCAACTTTGTGAGGCCCTAAGCACCTCAGCAAGACCCTGTCTCTAAATATTAAAAAGGGCTGGAGATGTGGCTCAATGATTAAGAGCCCCTGGGTTCAATCCCAGGTACCCAAAAAGTTTTTAAAATAAAGAGGGACTGGGGATGTGGCTTAGTGGTTAAGTCAATCCCAGGTACCAAAAATAAATAAATAAATAGAAATAAATGCAGCTGGGTGTGATAGCACATTCCTACAGTCCTAGTAACTTGAAGGCTAAGGTAAGGTCCAGAGGTTTCAGACCAGCCTGTGTAAATACAAAGAGACTCACCTCAAAAATAAAATAGATCTATACTGCCTCATTTACATTTTTGGATTTTGTTTTTCATTAACAGGAACATCAGAACTGATTTTTCCATAGCACTTTTTAAAATTTTTTTTAATTTTAAATATTTAGTTGTAGCTGGACACAATGCCTAAATTTTTTTGTATGATGCTGAGGATTCAACCCAGTGCCTCCCACATGCTAGGCAAGTGCTCTACCACTGAGCTACAACCCCAGCTCCTCCATAGCACTTTTTTTCCTATTAACTAAATAGGTTTAAGATGTGACCAATAATATATGCTAAAGATCCTCTAAATTATTTTTCTTTATTCTCAAATATTTTTTACAGTCCACAGTTAAGCTTAATTTACAAGTGCATTTATTGGAGCTGGGAATGTGGCTCAGTGGGGGGAAAAAAAAGTACATTTGTTGTTATAACACAGCATCCAACCAGCACTTTCCTGGTAATTTTTTTTAATGTGGTGCCTCACACATGCTAGGTATGCACTCTACCACTGAGCCACAGCCCCAGCCCTCCTGAAGTTTTGCAATAAGCTAACTATCTAGGTTAGAACTTAGGTACTTTCATTATTTCCTAGGAATTATTATGAACTGCCAATTCTGTCTAATTCATTATACTTTTCAAAATAGTTTTATATTCACCAGCTTATTGCCCCCCTAAAGGTGAGGTATCCAGGAGACCCTCTCTCCCACTTTGAAGAGGTGGAAACTAAAGAGTTACATATGCTAGTTATCATACTGGCCTCAGAATTCAAGTCTAAGAAACTTGCTTAAGCTTACCAAGTGCTACTTTATTCCCTTAGGCTATCTTGCAGGGCAAGTGAACTCTGTAACTAAAAGGATGCAATGGTGTGATTGCCAAAACTGTCACAGTGCTCTTAAAAGATAATAAGCTAATTGAACTGTAGAGTTAAGATAGTAAGGTGGAGAAGGAGAGGCTAACACCCATTTTCAGATAAGTATGAAAATTTCTGTTGTGTTATTCACTCCAATACACAGTTCACTAGGGCCTTCTCATGATCAGTGACCTGGCTAGTTTGTGTACCCAGGCTGATGGAAAGGAGAATTCCCACATGGCTTTTTTTTTTTTTTTTTTCCTAAACAGAAGGTTTTTAAAATCTTCCCTTAAGAAAATTTTTTTTTTAATTCTTCCCTTTAAAAAAACTAAGCAAAAAACCTTCCATTTCCTAAATTAGAGGTAAAGAAACTTAACTATGGTTCACCTTTGTCCTCTCAACCTTTTAATATTCAGCTCAGTTTAACCTCCCTCAACTAGCAATAGCTTTTGTCATGGCAACACAGGGTCCAGTTTCTTCTTCCCATCAACATAAATGTGACTTCAGGCCCTGAGAAACAGGACCAACAAAGACTAGGATGTCAGTTAAGTGGACCAAGGCATTTAGACTATAATGGTTTACTGCAATAGTTATTGATCAAGCAGTTACTACATATGACTTTCCTGCATAAGCATTTTAATTCAATCTTCATAAGTCTATAAGGTATTACTTAATAATCTATTACTGGGGTGTGGGACACAAAGGTAAAAGCCCAAATTCGCACAGCAACAAATGGCAGATGAAGTGCTTGAACCAGGGCCTTTATCTTAGCAGTCAATTAAAATCCCAACAGGACCATTAAACTAATCGCATGACCTTGGACCAGTCACTTCAAGCCTCTAACGCCTCAGTTTCCTCCACTGTAAAGCGAAGTGTGCTATGCTAGGTGAGATTTGGGTTGTTTTCCTGCTTTTAATGTCGGGTGGAATCTCCGACTGAATTACTCCCCACCCCCCGAGTAAGTGCTGTAATGGCTAAGCCTGAAGTTTTCCAACCACTGCGCGTTCTAGTACATTCTCCTTCCTCTTCAGGGTGCTAGGGTCCCGTTTTCGTTTAGAGGTCTTATTACAAATTCTGAACCTGCAATAGTAATTCTACATATCTTCTCTTAGTCTAATTCATCTTTCCCTGCTACTTAGGGGAACCCACTAGGCCCGATCCTCCCGGGGACCACCGGATTACTCGGCCCACCTCGAAACTGCCCAGGCAGCCAGTAATAGGCCTAAGAATGCCCTGGAAGCAAAGCCATAAGAACAAGTTCGCCTTCTCAAAGGTCAAGGGAGGCCCAGGGCACCTGCCACGCCTCCCGACCCCGGTGGCGCGGCCTGGGCCTGGTTCCCCAACTCAAGGGGCCGGGTTCAGGCCTCACCCCTCCTGGCCGGCGAGTTCGCCGGAGCCTGGGCCCTCGAAAAGCCAGCCCAATCCCTGGCCGCTGGCCACGCCCGACCCCTTTGGTCGCGGTGAAGCGTTCCCAGGCCCCCCGAGGTCCTCACAGGCCGGAGGACGCGTGCAGGCCTCCAGTCTCACCTCGAGCCTCCCGGGGACCACCGGCAGTGCCTGCGCCTTCTCCCACCCGCACACCTGGCCCCGCGCTGCAGTGAAGACAGCGGCGGAGGCGGCCCGACCGTCACGTGCTGCAGAACCAAAAGGCCTCCGCTGCCGCTGCCGCGCGACCGAGCCCCACCGCACGAAACCCAGCCCTGGGCCCGCCCCTCGATTCTGAGTAGCTATGACTAGCACTAAGTCCCGCCCCACCTCGCAAGCTCCTAGCTTCGGTTGGTCGCTGTGATCATCGCTCTACTTACCTTTCCATACGCCCCCTAGGGCTATTCTTCGTGGAGTGTGAGGATTGGCCGAGAGTGAGGCAGGAAGTGGTTGTTGGTTGGACAGGAGGCAAGAAGGAGGGCGGTAATCGGGGTCGCGCGCGTCCTGAGGCGCGGAGGGGTCTGCTGGCGTTCCCGCGCTCTGTTGCCCTGGTGCCTTAGTGGGCGCACCGCCCGCCTTTACAATCCAACGAAAAGTTATACCCCCTGGGTTCCTGACCCTGGGACGGGTATCCAGTGCCCTTCCCTGAAGGGGTGCATGGCAGCTGATAGAACGGGTGGGAAGTGGGATCGGCCGTCATGAAGGGTAATTTGCTTGTGCAGAGAGTGCAGGCCCCGACGGGTCGCGGGCGGATCCCGGCACCGGCTGCTTTACCCTGCAGAGAGTACGCTGCGCGGCGCTACGTGGGCCGGCGCCACCGTTCCTGCAGAGTCATCGCTCTGTGCCCCGGAGCCTGTAGCCTAATAGTTACCCAATATAAAACAGTCCAGAATAATATAATCAGACGTTATTTCAGTTTTCCATTTGTGATGATTCCTAAAGTGAGATTAAAGGGCTGGAATATGGCTCAGGAGTAGAGCACTTCCCTCGCACGGGTGAGGCCCTGGGTTGGATCCTCACCACCACGTAAAAAAATAAAAATAAAGTTATGTGTCCATCTACAACTAAATATATTTTGTAAAAAATAAAATGATTGAATATAAGAGTCTAGCGATAATAAGACGGCAGGATTGAGAAAAGGATGGTGCAATGGGAAGACTTAAAATACGCCAGTTTTTGAAAACCGCTCTTAGCACATTTTCCGTTTTCAATATGCTGAGATCCTCAAAAAAATGGAAGTAACTCTGAGTTTTGGTTTATTCGTTTTGTTTTTGGGGGTTGTTTTGTTTTTGTTTTTGTAGGGCCTGGTCTCTGTCCTCCATTTGTTTGGAGACCCAAAGACGTGAATACTAAGGTGGGAAAAAAAAAATAGTTATTTGGTATATCACCTATATATAGCCAATTTTATTCCCTCCTACGTGGAAAGAGGGAAAAAAAAGTTAGGATTTAATATTTGCCTCAGGTTAGTAAATTCCAATGCTCAACCCCTAAGTTTGTGTAAGAGCATTTTGCTTTCCTTATTTAACTAGAGAAGTGGGTATTCAAAATAGAATAAAATTATGAAGACAGGTGTAAAGGCCCCATATGTAGTAATCATAGCTGCCCTGCAGGCTGAGGCGGGAGGATGGCTTGCACCTTGGAGTTCTAGGCCAATCTGGGCAACAAAAAGAGACTCTGTCTTCAAATAAATGAAAAAAGCTGAGGATGTAGCTCAGTGGTAGTGTGTCCCTAGATTCAATCCTGGTACCACTAATAATCATAGTAAATAATAACAACAAAAGGGGCTGGGGAGTTAGCTAGCTGGTAGGGCCCTTGCAGAACATGCAAAAGGCTCTGGATTCAATCCCCAGCATTTGGGGGGCGGGGGGGAGTTAAGGGAATGTATGTGAGCTAAGCTAACAAAGGTATAACTGTTAAAAGATGATGGTACTGAAGAGAATTTAGTAGGGTTCTGAAAGAACAACTGTTTCCATGTTGGTTGGACTTAGTGGGATATGCAGGATTTCCATAGGTGGAGAGTTGGAGGAAGGCTTCTTTTTTTATTATTATTTTTTAGTTGTGGTTGGACACAATACCTTTATTTTATTTTATTTTTTTATGTCGTGCTAAGGATGAACCTAGGGCCTCACATGTACTAGGCCTATGCTCTACCGCTGAGCTTCAACCCCAGGCCCTGGAGGAAGGCTTCTTTAAATAATATGAATTCAGGAAAATAGGCCTGCTGTGTTTGGGGACATCATGTATAGACTTTTGGCTGGAGAAGTGTGTCATGAACATGAGTGATGGGAGATGGGCTCCAGAGTTGGTTTGGGATTAGGCCTTAAAAGCCTAGCCAGAAGCCAGGTGCAGTGGTGCACCCTGTAATCCCAGCAGCTCAGGAGACTGAGGCAGGAGGATGCAAGTTCAAAGCCAGCCTCAGCAAAAGCGAGGCACTAAGCAACTCAGTGAGACCCTGTCTCTAAATAAAATACAAAATAGGTTTGGAGATGTGGCTCAGTGTCAAGTGCCCCTGAGTTCAATCCCTGGTACCCCGCTTTTCCAAAAAAAAAAAAAAAAGACTAGCCAGAGAATTTGTAGGGACATATGTTGGATTTTAGACTTGGATCATGATTTAGATGTTTATGTTAATACCATTCCAGGAAGGTCTGAAAACAGCTTTGAGAACAGTTAGGAAGCTACGTCTTGAAGTTGATAAAAAGGGCAGAACTGGAGAGTGTCAGGGCATACAAAACAAACCAATAAATGTTGATACTAGAAAATGGTCCGTTGGACTCAGGAGGCTATGGAAAGATGCTAACATTAAGGGTTTGAGACTGGATGAGGAGGTGAAAATGTAGAGCCCCAACAAAAAGGCAATCCAAGCATGGCTGATCCTGGGCTGTCCCCTAAACACAGGACTGGATGTGGGGATTTTTCAGCTCACATATAATGTTTTTCAAAGGAGGAAGTTAAGGAAAAAACCCTGAAGAATGGGGTCTTTTCTTGATAATCCAAAGGTACTTTGAGGTATTAGAGTATCTTACTAAAAGAAATAACCATTATCGTTCTTAGATGTAGAAGGAATGGGAAACTGAATTGAATGTGTTCTTTTGTTTTTTGTTTTTTTAGCAGCACTGGACATTGAACACAAGAGAGCTTTTATTTTAAGACAGGGTTGTTGAGACTGGCCTCAAATTTATGATCCTCCTGCCTCAGCCTCCTGGGTCACAAACATATTCTGACTTTATAGTATAACTTGGAAAATGGTTTTTAAAATAAATTATTTATATCCATTTTAAAATTCTCATGTCCTTGATCCAGAAATTCCATCTTGGCTGTCTATTAATAATTGAAAAAATATATCCACTACATTTACTATGCTTAATGTAAAAATGCTGGGCATAGTGGTGCATATCTGTAATCCTGATGACTTGAGAGGCTGAGACAGGAGGATCAAAAGCTAGAGGCCAGCCTGAACAACTTAGCCTTGTCTCAAAATAAAAAATAAGACAGGAGGACTGGGGTTGTGGCTCAGTAGTAGAGCGCTCGCCTCGCACCTGTTAGACCCTGGGTTCGATCCTCAGCACCACATGAAAATAAACAAAATAAATAAATAATATTTAAAAAAGAAAGAATGAAAGACAGGAGATGTAGCTCAAAAGTAGAGCATCCCAGGTTCAATCCCCAGTACAAAAAAAATTATAGTACCAATATCCTGGACATAACTTACCATGATAGATAAATGACTAGATAAAATATAGGCCATCTTTATAATTGTTTTGCACTGTTGGAAAGCATCAGGTGTGCACCTGTGTGTTCTGATATACAGTGATCAGTGAGATTTATTATAATGTAAAAAAGCTCTGCATATTAGTATGCTTCCTTTCACGTGGAAAACATACATGAATTGTCATAAACTTGGACTAATAAGCTCACTGGAAAGATGCACAAGAAACTAACAGTGGCCGATGCTAGAAAGGGAGACTGAGACTCTAGAAATAGAAAGGTTATTTTAATATATAACATGCATATATTTTTTCAGTAAAGAATCAATTTCAGCCTTTATGCTTAGTGTTTTTGTTTTAAAGACAGAATTTTGAAAATGACTACACAAAATTCTTGATCCATGTGTGAGACAATGAAAGAAAGCTTAGAGGTAAAATGATTGGGTTATGAGAGCCTTAACCTAATCATGTGTTAAACCCCTGGTAGAGAATAGCTGAATGGTGACTTTAGGTTGGTAGGATATGGCTAAAGGAGGTGGGCCACTGGGGGCTTGTCTTTGGTAACATATATTTTGTAAGCTGAGCTTAGTCTCTCTCTTTGCTTCCTGGTGCCACATTCCCCGCTGCTTTCCTCTGCCACACACTTCTACCATGATGTTCTGTATCACTGTGTGCCCCAAGGAATGGAGCTGGCCATCTATGAGCCATAGACATGAGCCCCCAAATAAACTTTTCCTCTTTAAAATTGTTCTTGTCAGGCATTTTGGTCACAGCAAGTAGAAAAACTGACTAAAATAGAAAAGAAAGAATTAAGTATATTGGGACAGCAAAGTAGCCAAGGAAAGGAAAAGGAGTTCCACCTGGCTTTATGCCACCTTGAGCTGAGAATTGCAATAGAGGTTGCCCTTCCTTTCAAGGCCACCTGATATCTGCTCCCTCCTCCTCCCTTCCCTTGTTAGTCACACTCACTCACTATTCTACATGGCTTAAGATGCCTGCCAGCTCTCCTGTACACACTGCCCCTCCTCAGGTCCCAGGCCAACTGGAGTTTTCTATATACTGAGAACTAATATGTCCCCAAACTCTTTCAGTTGTGGAATCTCCTCTCAAAATGTTCAGATGCATTAGGTAAGCTATCCATTTTGTCCTCTGGTTGAGGATTATCACAGAGTACTTATCTTCTTTTTATAGTTTGCACTTTAGCCCCTTATTCTGGATTTGGATCTCCTGATGTTATGATTTGGATATGTGATGTCCTCCCAAAAGCTCATGTGTGAGAAATGCAATAACGTTCAGAAATGAAATGATTAGATTATGAGAGTTGTAACCTAATGAGTGGATTAATATACGTGAATGGTTAACTGGGTGGTAAATGTAGGCAGGTAGGGTGTGGCCAGAGGAAGTAGGTCACTGGGGGCATAACTTTGGTATTTATATTTTATCACTGGTGAGCAGAGCCCTCTCTTCTTCCTGGTTGTCATGAACTGAATAGCCTTCCTCCACCATGTCCTTCCTTCATGACATTCTCCCTCACCTTCGCCCAGAGCAATAGAGTCAGCCAACCATGGACTGAACCTCTGAAACCCTGAGCCAAAATAAACCTTTCCCCTTCTAAGTTGTTCTTGTCTAGTTTTTTGGTCACAGGGATGAAAAGATGACTGATACACCTGATTACTCAACCTCTCCACCCACATTTTAAGATAACAATTTTGAGCTGGGCACAGTGGGACATGCCTGTGATCCCAGCTACTCAGGAGACTGAGGCAGAAGGATAACAAGCTGGAGACCAGCCTCAGCAACTTAGTGAGAACCTGACTCAAAATAAAGGACTGGGGGGCTGGGGATGTGGCTCAAGTGGTAGTGCGTTCGCCTGGCATGCGTGCGGCCCGGGTTCCATCCTCAGCACCACATACAAACAAAGATGTTGTATCCGCCGAAAACTAAAAAATAAATATTAAAAAAAAAATTTTCTCTCTCTCTCTCTCTCTTTAAAAAAATAAATAAATAAAGGACTGGGGTCAGTTGCATTGGCATACACCTGTAATCCCAGTGGCTCACAAGTTCAAAGCTAGCTTCAACAACTTAGTTTGGCCTGGTATCAAAAAAAAAAAAAAAAAAAAAGACTGGGGGTATAGCTCAGTGGGACTAGCA